TGGACTACCACGTGTATGCCCATAGTTTCCTGTGCTATGGAAGAGTGGAGGCTGAACGGAGGTTTTTTGCAAACCTTGTTGTGGTAAGACATGTTCAACAAGTATTCCCTCTAAAACTCCTAGAGAGTGTTGTTGAGTTTATTTGCAGTTTGTTACTGCTTTCCAATTCAGTCATTCATAACTTAAGCATGGATGATCTCACATGTCATCTTCAAAAATAATGTAACCTTTGATGAGTAACTAATTCATGGTGATGAAGAAGACATGGAAATAGAAATATAATAGGAATTGGCTGTGGCTTGCATTTGTTGCAACAAAACTTTTGCAACAAAATTTTTATTTTTTTTTACTTTACAGAGTTCTAATAGCACACACACATTTACCGAATTTAACGTTATGTTCCTTCTCTAGGCAGGCAATTACACCAGTGAAGTGGAAAACCCTTGTGCACCCTCAGGATACAACCACACCTTCCCTGCCTCATACCTGTTTGAGGCACCCTGTAGTCAGGGCAAACAGGCTCTTCTCACCTGGGGGTCAGAGGTCACCTTTCCAGACCACCTGGATGTAGCGGAAACAAACTTTACAATGGTTGGAAGCAGTAGCTATGCAGGCTGTGTGGCACATGTGGACAAGCTATTCAACTTTTCTGAGCCGTGTGATTATGCATCATGCTCATTCAATGGTGTATACCAGCCAAGCCTGCATGGAAACTTTCAGGTTACTCATTTGTTATATCAAGGAGCTTCTATCACCTTGGTTATATCATACTAGTTGCAAAATGTTGCAATCCAGCCCCACCAATTGTTAGGTCCTCCTAGCCCTTGGCTGCAAGGAAAAAGTAGCTGATCCACCTAATAACAACAGTAACAATACACCTAATGATATAGTAGGTTTGCACACTATCTGCAAATGTTCCCATTTTTTCTCCTCAGGCTTTCAGCTTCTTTTACTATGTTGTGGATTTCCTGAACCTAACAAGACCTGGCAACTTTTCCATCTCAGAGTTCAACACAAATGTTAACACCTACTGTAGTAAGACATGGAAGGAGGTAGGAAAGCCCAATGTTGAATGTTGACATTTTAGTATGTTGCAGTCACAATGTAGTGTAATTGATAAGGAGTGGAGAGAGGAAGCCTGCATGCCATTTCCTATATGCATAATCAGCTGTTATTTTTTAATTGAACTGGAATACTGTATTTCGTAGTGAAATGTCTGGTTGAATTTACTGTAAGCATAATTGCCACAAAGAATTTTGTGTCATTTGTGATGAAATCTATCAATTTACCTGTCTACTGTTCAATGTGTTTTTCCCATTCTTGCAGGTGCAAAGCATCCCAGGTCCATTGTTAGATCAGCTGGCCCTCTACTGCCTGGATGCCCAGTACATCTACACCCTGTTAGTAAAGGGCTATGGCTTTGAAAAGGACACCTGGAACGTTACCTTTATAAATCAGGTGAAACATTTGTGTAGGTTGGAAATGTAAAGTTGTGCTGTAATATAGCTGTGAGTAGTAGTGATGTTTTAGATTTGATATCTATGTTATACATAAATTTAAGTAAATGGCTGTGATACTGGTCAAAAAATCTCCAAGCAGATGTAGGGTCCAGTTTCTTATACATGTACCTTCTAGTGTTCTGCTTGTAAGGGAAGGCAATGAGAGAGAGAAAAAAATACTGATCACTGGAAATACTAATACTTGGACTACATCTGCTTGGACTAGGAGAACACATCCCTTCAGTAACTCAAACTTGGACACTCAAGCTTTGAATTTCCTCATTGAACATGCAAACTGTATGACCATCTATTTGTAGTACATTTGTAGGCTTTCTATCAATTCACTTCTGTATTTACCCATTTACCCAGGTGAAAGAGACCAACCTTGGCTGGGCCCTGGGATTCATGCTCAACACAACCAACCTCATCCCATCAGAGGCACCGATTATCCAGTCCAAATTATCCCTGACAGCATATGCTCTGTTGATTGTGCTGTTTGTAGTGTTCCTCCTGTTGGGAGTTGGGTTCAGTTACTCGGCCTACAAGGGCACCAAGAGTTCCAAAGACAGATACAGACAGTTGTCAAATTATGGCAGTGTATAATAGGCTATATGAGGATGTATCTCATGCATCTCAGAAATGTTTAAACAGTTTCAGACAGCCTTATCAAAGTTTCAAATGTATCATCATCTCTTAAGAGCAACACTAACCAAACTGAGATACAATGTATGTTGAATAGAAATATCTCTGGATCAGATACTTAAGGTTAAAGGACTGATATTTTCAATGACTAGCTGTTGTGCCAAACTATATTAAAGATGGAAAATATAGAACTCATTTTGACAAGTTCAGAAATTATTAATGTCCATCAATAACAGCAGGGCTGTTAATGACAGTGTACTTTGTACGTTAAGTTTTAGCTTAGTATTTTAAATGTATTCTTCCTTCTATGGTTTTCTTGGTAGAAATTTATTTCTCAGGCTAGATAACAGCTAGCCTGTGTTACATATTACACAATCTCTTGTTGCCATGGGCTAACTGACTCGCTCCCGAGATTGGTCCTGGTAGTTGGGTGGGGACTAGAAGCACAATTTAGTCAGTTAGTCAACAATTTGTGGTGATGTTTTTTTACTTGTGTTTCTACACAAAGATGCTGGTACATGTAATAATTTTGTTATCACTCTGCCATTGCATTACATAATCCATGCTACTGGAACAGTTGGCTTTTGTGTATTGCTGTGTACATGTATAGCTGTGAACATTATTCGTACATCGTACGTTTTAAGTCAATTTTTTATTTTTACTACGATTTGCATGAATTTTGTAAGAATTCTATGCAGTTGCAGTTTTCTCAGCGAATAATCAATTAAGCTGTGGCTAATCCAAACAACTATGAGGTGACAAAAGGAATCAACTGTCTGTTCTTTGCTGATTCTGTCAGAAACACGTTAATAGAAATTGGCATCGTATCACGTATGTCGTAGATTCGGATTGTATTGAATATTTTAGCAGATTCTATGTGGTGCGTTTCCCTTTTGATATGAAAGAGAAGTATCACTTCTGTCATACAAAAGGTGCGCTGATTGCATTTCTGCCATAGTCTGCGCCAGGCTCTCATCGCTTCCCAGGCTGGAAGAAAAGCCTATTGTTGGCGCATGACGTCCATCCGTCATTTTTAGAGTTCCAGGCAGCCTTTTGAGTATCCATGTTACAAACAACAGCATCAATATAGCGTGCAGGTGAGAGCCAGTCATCTTTCGTCGACTTAATATTGGTTGTAGTGATCCTTACTATTGCCTTCTTGGCAGGAGGTTCAATTGATAGTACGTGACGACGATGTCTCTATCAGAGAGGGCAAAAGCATTTTCCATGGAAGCTCTCCTTGCGGCTGATCCAGATAAAACGAGTGAAAACGATAATGAAGAACTTTCTCCGGTGTTTGATGCTGCTGCCTCCCGTGGAGTGAGTTCGTCAGGGCCCCACAGCGTTAACTTGGCTGTCCCGGCCGGTCACCGACCACTGGGCCCACCGTGCGGTCACCCTGCGCCACCAACACTGCTGAGGACTGGTGAAGAGGCGGCAGAAAGAGACGAGTTTCAAGGCAACATTTTTCCGTACCCTGGAGAGGCAGACAGGTCTTCGCCACATGAGTCAACTGAAACGGACGGCTGCCAGGACGACGACTTGCCCATCGCCAAGACTACCGACGGCGTGACGGTGTCGCTGGAAAAGGCCGGTTTGTGGCGGAAGTTCCAGGAATGTGGCACGGAGATGATTCTCAACAGGGCTGGCAGGTGGGAGATTTTAACAACTATATAGTGTTACTTTTCTGTATCAACGTATTTCTTGCACAGTTTCGAAGGCGATATGACTAATACGTACACAAACATACGAATTAGCAACTTCCAATAACAATTTATTGAGAATAGAAAGCTTTAACAGTAAGGCACGCTGCTTCTTGAAAAACGTATAGCCTATGAAAATTGCAAAAAAGTATAAGGGCCAAGTAAAACCTAATCAGGTATCGGCGGTTCAGCACCAAGGACAGGTATGCGTAGTTACTGTAATTGCTCACCCAATTACAGATGCCCTAAGCTAAGGAAAGAAAGTTCAAGTGTTGGGAAAACGCTTTATATAACCTCTAGGTCTATGGAATGTAGATTTTCTAAGTTGTTGCATTTGTTCTTCAGTTTTTATTTGCCACACGGTGAAGTCTTAGCTAGAGGCTTGTGAATAATAACTTTCTCGATACGGCGATTTGCCAATTGCTCATTCCATAGATGACGCAGGCTCCAGATGTTTTGAATGTTGAATATAAGTTCCACTCAATACCGTGCAAATTGCGGTGATTTTTTCATTAACATGAAGTGATGTTTGTCAGCGGCCACCATTGTACAGTATGTGCAGTATGGGTGAGAACCTCTTCGGTATTCTCGCAATTATGACTCTATTTAAAGCTTTAATGACTGTCTATTGACTGTGGTCGGCTCATTTATGGCGCGTTTCAACGTACAGCAAGAAAAACGTCATTCCTGTCACCTAACTGGCCTGTGGATGATGTTTGTGTGGAAAGTATTGTATGGATGAATGCACTAGATTCAAGACGTATTCTTTCGTTTGAAGCGATGATTACAAGTGTCTGTAGACTAACGAGCACTTATGGCGTCGTTAAAAAACAAGGCGAGAAGACTAAATAAAAAAAGCGATGTTAACGTTAGGAAAAGACTGACCACAGTGTAGATATACTCACCTTCTAAAAACACGGAAAGAGAGAAGATGATGACCACTAAATAGAGAGCTGGATAGCCAATTTCATACATACGCACACACACGCATACGCATACACACCATCCCAGTGATACAGGCTGGTGCTTTGTAACTTCAACATATCTTGGTACTTTGCCTTGTTTCGTTGCGCATGCATAAAGAATCTGTTCCCAGCCGTATTATGAGGAAACATTGCTTGCTTGTTATCTTTCAATTAACCGCTACTTAAAACGTTTCTAATTGTGTACTTTCTGTATGTGTCAGACGGATGTTCCCACCCGTGATGGTGACTATCGGCGGTCTGGATCCCACCGCCACATACAGGGTGTACCTGGATGTAGTTCCAGCTGACAGACACCGTCACAAATTCACTAAGACCGCCTGGGTCACAACGGGACCAGCAGAATTCAGCGTATGTATCAGCCTTTCAAAAAGTGCGTCCTTTATATAGCTGAGCTGCAGGTGTGCAATGCATTAATCAGTGAAATATCTTTACCGATTATTTTGTCTGCAGTTCTCCAATCCTCCGTACGAACACCCCAACTCCCCGGCCATAGGGTCAGCCTGGATGGGAACTGTCGTCCTTCGCCAAGGCCAAGATCACCAACAGTAAAGACAGTGTTGATGGCAACGTGGGTGCTTTTCTTGGTCTTCATGCACTTGATAGGCAAAAGTTATAGATATAGCCACCTGGACGTGACAAATCAACGGTTTCTCATATGAACTTATAATTAGGATTATTGTCGACTACAATGTGTCAAGTACATGTGTTGTGATTTTTACATATTTTACCTTCTTCATGCATAGCTCCAAGAATGATAGCCTGTTTAGACGGGGAAGAAACAACTGATGTCGATATCCAGCCTTTTATCCATCCTTTCTTTAATTCTGAATCTTTGCTCCGCATTGTAAGATTTTACGTTCAGGAAAGAAGAAAAGTCAGAAATATTTTAAACAACGCTTCTTTTTCACCAGTTCCTTCTCCACTCGATGCACAAGTACCAGACAAACATTATCATCGTGCGCCAAGAAACAAAAAAGAAGGCCCAGGGTCATCACGGTGACCACAGGCATACCTTCCAGTTCGACGAAACAGCCTTCGTGGCGGTGACGGCGTATCAGAACCACAAGGTCACACGTCTGAAGATCAAGAACAACCCGTTCGCCAAGGCATTTCGAGATCTGGATGTCACGGCGTAAGTACCATCACATATATTCATTCTCTATCAATCCACTTGTCGAGGATCGACGGATGGAAGTAAGTACGTATTACATACTACTTAGGCGAACGGTTACTTGTATCCATGCCCACAATTCGATTCGCAAAGTTCGTTCGCATCTAGTGTATAAAGGCCTTTGTGCTCTAAACATGTAACGTTAACGTTACAGTTGTATTATTCACATTGAATGGTTTTCCTCGTAATATGTTTGTTGCCCTTCTTTCTCATGAAGTCGGTACATTACTGTACTGTCAACTTGCTGTGGATATGTCCAAAAGAACATACTGTGATGATCTGAAATGATGAAATGATCTTCTATCACAGGGTATTGGCAGGTGCCCGACTACTGACCGGAAGTGACGCAGGCGCCTATCAAGCGGTGTATGGAGATAGAGGTAGGCAGAAAAAATATGTAACGTTGGCATCTAATTTGGCTGGGGAGGGACAGCAAAGTAATCACATGACTTTACCTAGGATTGTAGCGATGCGGCAATGTAAGAGGGTCTGCATGGGGGGGTCCTGGCAACGGTTAACGGTAAATTCAGCAGGGCCGATAACGCTTAACGGTAAATTCAGGACGGTCGGCAACGATTAACGGTAAATTGACAGGCTTTTTTTTCGAGCTGCACTGGATTTGGTATCTCGCTTTGTGAGAAAAGGTGATCACTGACAAAATTACGTATACCTTACATGTAATGAAGCATGCATTAAAGGTATGTGTTCCCTGTGTTTCCCACCTGCCCTAGTCCCCGAGTGCGTCCACAAATAAAGGGGAGTCCGAGTCGACGTCGGTCAGCTTGTATTTTTTCAGTCTGCCCAGTTTTACCGATGGATTAATCTAGGGGGGTCCGGGGGAATGCTCCCCCAGGAAATTTAGGATTTTTAAGCCTTCAAAAACGCAATTTCCCGCATTTAGAGAGGCAAATCATGGTGTTGAGAGTGTTTGTTGGTCCTTCTGATATTTTCATATTTTACTCAAGATTTTTGTTAATTTGCCTGTCAAGGTTGACGGATTCGTTAAAAAAATTCTGTAAATCTCCGCAAACTTTCGGAAATTGACGGGAAAACTGTTTCTGGCTAGAGCCGAAGGGACCGAGCGCAGAAGCGCGAGTCGAGCGCCAAAGGCGTGAGCAATGTAGGGGGGTCCGGGGGCATTCGCCCCCGGGAAATTTTGTATTTTTAAACCTTCAAAGACGCATTTTCCTGCACTTTGAAAGGCAAAATTAGGCGTAACGAAGAATTATTCATTAACGCTTAACGATGAATTTAGGATGACAACTAACGTTTTACGTTGAATTAAAACGGCCAATAACGCTTCACGAGGAATATACTGATAACGCTTAACGTTGAATTAGAGCGGGTCGGCAACGATTAACGGTAAATTAAAATAGCCCATAACGGTTAACGAAAAAGGGCATGCAGACCCTCATGTAAGATTTTTTTTATAAGACAATGACGTCGACACTCATGGAAAAAGAACTCTTTTCAACATTCGCCTTGTACATCAAGTCAAGGCAGAAGCTGTATTAAATATATGTATTCTCGGATGCTCATGAGATTGCGTTTACAAACTGGCGGACATACCATCATTTCTGGAGCGAACTTGTTAACCTGTTACCACCTTGTAGGGTATCCATGCAGTGGACCTATTGTGATGGACTCCAACCAGATACGTCTGTCTACATCGAAGAGCACCAGAGCCAAACAGCGTTATCCAAAATCCATGAGGGAAAATAAAGTCTTCCGCCCAACTCCCATCTGGGCGCTGCCCGCGTGTGGCTTCCCGTATCCAAATGGGAACTGGAGTCCCGAAGGAAACATCACCACTCTCCATCCTCCACCCAGCCCTGTCCTGCTGCCTGCCACACACCACTCCCCAACACACTAGTCAGAAACGTAATCCGACAACAAACGTCTCTCTGTAAGGCATCTATCATTCGTACCATGAATAAGGAGTCCAGAGTAAAGCTGGAGAAATAAATCCATTTGGGCTGAAGATTTCGGAAGCTATAAATTCTCTTGTAGTCTATCAGTCTACCTTTTAAAACTGTCCTTCACAAAAGTAGAACTCTTAGATTCGCGTCAAATATGTAACGTTAAGTTATTTTATATGCTAGGAAATCACATATGGAAAACAATACACGGATATACAGCTGTTGATGATAAGTCGTACAGTATGATGCCATGAATCAAAATGTTGTTACGTCGTGCCTGATTCTGTAAGTAGTCTGTTTTGGTGTGATCATTGAAATGCCTCAGTGGTGTGAATTGAGGTTGTGTCATGTCAGCCGAAGTTCAAGTTCCACTCCGATTTTTTCTTTGACTGTCAGCTAGTAGATCCTGATGGCGGGAATCAGTGTGAATGTCTTCAAGGTCTTTTGTGATGTCTTCTTCATACGCGATGTCCAATAAATGAAGGATCAATGTGACGTTATACGATCTTTAGCAAATTAACGTGTGTAACCGTTAAATTAATCAACGTGTGTTATGACCGCGTCACAAAAGGGATGAAAATAAGGGCTGACACCCATGTGGCCCGCGTTTTATTCTGCCGTCTCTCCCAAATGCAGGAACCAACAAAAAGACGTACAAAGTTCGCGCAAAAGTGTGAACGCACGACCCTACATCTGCTTGAAGGTCTACCTTTGACCGTTTGGGGTAACACCAGTATTTCTGATGGTGGGGGGGGGGATTAATCTCTTTGTTAGGAGGTAAATGGAACCTAAACAATTTCTTCTGTCATTCTTTTGGGGATATAAGAAAAAATTCAGAAGTCTGACTATTTCTACTTTTTTTTCTAAAATTGCAATGACGATTTTCTTTCAAGTCCACTAGCTAATGTGGATATGCGCCCCTATCAACCCGAATGGGATTGCCCTATTTCTCGCGCGCTTTCAGCGGGAATTCAAAATGGCGTCTACTCCTAAAGTTGGAAGTCACATACTGGTTCATCGACAGCTTCAAGACTTGATTGCGGTTTTACAAGATCAACAGGACAAACTTAGACAAGAGGTGAGGACTCTAGAGACTCCGTAGCGTTCGATAAGGATTAAATTTGTGATAGAAGTTGCGAAATGACAACGATAGGGCTTCTTTTGTGTGGAACATTGTGGAATTGGAAAGTTATAGCATATTTGTAGAACAATGTGTGCATCTGTCTTGCAGTTAAGAACAAAAGAGGGATGGGTGAGTAAAGAGCAGTTTGAGGCTGTGCAGAGGGAGTTACAGGTGAGAAAAATTACCATTAAAAATCTTAAACATATTCTTGCTTGAGTTATATATATATATATATATTACTGAAGTATATATTATATATGATTACAGCTAATTATGCAGCACATAACCTTCCCCCTATTAAACCTTGTTCTAATTGGCAATGACACAGGGAGGGTTAGCAATACAGATATAAAAGGTTGGTTATACAGAGAAGCCGTCAAGCAGGTGCCTAGCGCCTGTCTGCTTTTCTTGGAGTTACAGGTGAGAAAAATTACCATTAAAAATCTTAAACATATTCTTGCTTGAGTTATATATATATATATATATATATATTACTGAAGTATATATTATATATGATTACAGCTAAATTATGCAGCACATAACCGTTAAAAAGAAGACAACAAAGGCATGACATCCTGCTATATTTGCTGATGAACTTCTGGTAGCCATTACGAAGTCATTGACAACGTGTTGTTGTAGAATGGGTAGTGGGTTACAAATTACTTACAATCATTATCTTTCCTGTTGTTTTTATTTGTAGTTTGAGAGAGAGGAGCACATGAAGACAAAGGCAAAGCTGTCATCTGAATCAGAGAAGCTGCAGTTTGCACTGGGAGAGATAGATGTCCTCAGCAAGCAGCTTGAAAGGGAGAAATCTGTCTTTTGAAAATGCGTAAGCAGTTGTGCCAACAGCTTTTGCTTAAAACTTACAGTTTAATTTTTCCCAATATTGTAATACAAACTTCAATCAATCAATAAATCAATCAAAACTAGTTTATTCATAAAAAACTTCAAAAGCATAATCTTTGCTTCAATTTTGAAATAGATGACTAAAAAGAGATGTAAACAGAAAATTATTCACAAAATTTTGATTTACAGATTGGGTATGATGAAAAGTAAAGCACAGAGGGAATCCCATCAGGCCAGTCAGCTAAAGGACAAGTGCTCAGGTAAGCAGGTACCAGGTACATGTACACATTTGTAACTGAACTTGGCCAAAATTCTACACTCACTAGTCACATGTACATATATGTACATGTACACTGTACATTATCACTTCTGCATTCATCAATATAGGGGGCACATCTTCGTTATTTCCTTCCTTCCTTCCTTTCTCTATGTTATGCCTGAAAATCATGCTCTGTCTTTGTCAAAGAGGTGCTTTGGGGAGTAGGGTGTCCACATTCCCAGTGTATGACTGTGTAAAAATGACATTTTGCACACAAATTCATATAAGGTGCTTGAGGTCAGAGCATATACTCAATTCACATCTTCACCTGCACATGATGTGTCCATGAATCCCTGACGATGATGGCTAATGTTGTTGTTTATTCCACAGAGGTGGTAGCACAGTGTGAGCTACAAGAGGATATCCTGAATGTTAAAGATCTACGGATAAACGACCTCAAACAGAGACTCACCAAACAGAAACAGGTATGTAATCATAGAAGGATAATTTTCATATAAGTAACACCTGTGGTAGAAAGTTATTTTGAACAATTTGTTTTTCGAACATATTTTTTAAAAGAAGTTTTGAAGCAATGTTGATGTTCTGACAAAGATGTTTCTGTCCACTGCCAAAAAATGATGTCCAAAGGCCGATGTGGTAGGAACACGACCGGGTACTAGTACGGGTACTAGTAGTAGTACAATGTCAACGTGCTGGAGAAGAGAGTGAGTGAGGATACAACTTATTGAATGTTGCAGGTGGCAGTGGTAAGTTAAAATGAAATGTCTAACTTGTTACATTCAGGCACACAAGGCACAGATGGAAGACCTGGAGATACAGCAACAACAAGATGCCTACATCTCCAGAATACTGGAAGAGTCAGGACAAGGAAGGAGAAGAGCTGGAAAAACAGGAAAGAAAGGGTTTTCAAAAATATCTGATGAGGAACTTTAGATCAAAGTCAAGGCCACATTATATAGGCCTGAAAACCAGCATTGACTGCTTTGCCTTTGGTTCCTGCTGCTTGTAGCTACATCCATTATTGTGATGTTTTTTAAACCGGGCTGGCAATGCTTAATTTTTGTCAACATCTAAACTTCAACTTTTGTGATGACTTTTGTCATATTTTTTTAAAGACCAAAGATCATAGTTCTAACAGGCTGGGGGTATTGGTTAGGTGTGTTTGTGTGTGTGTGTGTGTGTGCTAATACTGACAGCACATATATCTTAGTTTGCAATAGGCCAAGCATAACTCATACCAAGATGATGAATTCTCAGTCTGTTATGTACAAAATTATCTAGATATTGTATGAAATGTCAGGTTAGGCATAATGTATGTCACAGATTAATCTGTTTGTTGCAATAGAAATGTACAGTTGAAATCCTTAGATATACTGTGTGTTGTCTCTGGATTTATATTAGAAATTGATTGTCCAAATGTTTATCTTTACCTAAAGTGGCAGTATTATTCAGTTTCAGTTTATTTCGCACTTTATTGTATCAGGATTATAGATACAGATACATGAATATGACAAATGACTTTAAAATTTTAGTATCACAATGTACCAAGGACATTATACCCTTGGTATTAGATTAATTACTATATTGTAAAAGAATACACCCATTAAATAGCTTAAAATATATACTGGTAGCTGACCATACCTCACTTCTACCCTAAGGTAAGGTGCTTTGAAGTGTCATAATGCTTCTGTGCCTAAAATGAATCTTATTGATAGGTTCACCTGGTACAATTTGTTTCATGCCAAGATCACAGCACTGATAATTCATGAGATTGTGGGTAGCATTTCCTAAACAATTGCTTAGCCCTGAATGGACTAAGATAATTTTCTCATTCAAAAAATAAATGTAGATTTATTTTGCTAAATGATCTGTGTGGTTCTTCCTGACTGGGCTTACACGGGAGCTTTCTTTCTGATTTCACTGAAGCTGTTTACGGATCCTTCACAAATTTATATGTTTATCACTATAAAGAGATTCCAGCCAAAGACCCGGGTACGATTATTTTGTACGAGCTAATCAATAAGCAAACGCAGGATGTTAGGTAGCAGTCTTTTCGCAATTGCCCACCGGGTGCATGGGAACACCAGGCAACAACAAAAGGCTGAAAGAGAAATACAAGAACAAGTCATTCACATATCAAAGTCCAAACTTTGAATAATCCTTTGCTATGAACAAGAGATCACGGATCCAGGTGACGCAATACTTCTTCGAGTACCCAGAACTGGTTGAGCAAGGATAACATGCCGGGGTTTGTTTTGTGACGTATGTCAAACAAGGATTTCCTGTTGCAGCCACGACTGCAAACATTGGAGGGTCCTGCTAAAACTAGTTGCTTGGTTCGCCCACACAACTCATATCTCAGTTCATGAAAAAATTCAAAAATCATGATTAACTCAGTTTTTTTTATAAGGATACCTTACTTCGTACCCACTTGTGGAGCAATACAAAGTTCATTCATATCACTTGCATCCATGCCAACATGAATAAGGGGTGGGTAGGGTCAGAGATAGCAGAATTTCTCCCTCAATGATTATTGGCATAGTTGTCCCCAGAATAATGATTTTCATATTAGTAATAACGATACATGTGGTAGAAAGATATTTTGGACAATTTGTTTTCTTGTACGTTTTAAAAAAGTTTTGAGGCAATGTTGATGTTCTGACAGATGTTGCTATTAAAGGTGTCCACTTCCAAAAAAAATGAAGTTCAAAGGCCGATTTGATGGGGACACGACCGGGTACATGTAACGTTATCAGTAGTTCAATATTGTTGTTCAGTTGTTGTTGCCATACTTTGTGCACGTGTACCCTGTGTACTTGTACCCCCAATACAAAGTACGTTATTATCACTCTTATCATCAATGCATGCCAACATGAATAAGGTTGGGTGGGGTTTATAGAGATTGCAGACTTTCCCCCTCAGGAGAAATTGCGCTCTGGTAGAAAATACAGAAACTCCACAGCAGAAACACACATTAAACAACTCGATGCGGTCCAGGAGTTAAACTTTGCTGTGCCCACACCCACGGCCAGACCGTCTATTGTAATCCGCTCGCTGATTGGTCCATGAGCCCGCGCCTGCGCCAGCCAGCTGGGAACGTGTCGGTTCGGGGTATGATTTCAGGTATGTGTTCGAATTTATCTTCCACGTTTCAGTCATTCTAGCAGGAGATGCATGCTGCAGGTGTGGCACATGGTGGGCAACATGGTCAAGATCAACTGGGCCAAAAACGGGACCCACACGATGTAAGACCGCTTATTTTTGCCACCCAGTGTGCGGGCACGCCTATGTACCGTTACCGCTATGTTGGGATGGGAACATGTTTGACAGGCCGACGGACACGACGGCCGCTCGCGCTTCTCGCAATTTGTCTTTCAACCTGTGCTTTAGATTAACATTGTGTAGTCTAGGTCTGGCAGTTCGCTTCTTCAAAGGGATTGCAGTCTAGAAGCAAATTAAGAAAATGTTGGAAGGTGACGTCGGGGTTCTGTGATGTTTCTCAAAATTATGGAAAAAGCTGTTCAAAAGGACTTTTATAAATACTAACGTTAAAGTTGCTGGAACTAACTACGGTTTTAGGCTCGACCTATTGGTTTTGGATAAGCAGGTTAGAAGAAAATCGATATGTACCAAACGGATTGGTTTTGTGTACACAGCCGCTTCTTTTCCCAACACCACAGCTGTATAATGTTACCGGAGTGGGAGAGTCCCTCTATTCATGCATTAATTCATGCCATGGTGATTTCCGTGTTGTGCCTAATTCAGTAAAAACGTCACACATAGCTGATTGTAAGGAAGACTAAAAATGAAATGTGTGGGATAGCAAAGCAAGTCCACACCAATTTAATTTCTTGCTTCTTGGATTTGATGTGGGAAAGTTACGGAGTGTGCGGCCGAATTAAACAAGAAACAGGCATCCTGTGACAGACCTATTAAAATTATGCTACTATAAGAGCTACAAAGAAAGCTCACCAAGTAACGAAGTTACATGGTACATGTAAGTTATTAGCATACCATACCATTATACACCAAGTACATGGGAGCTTTCTTTATCTAATCAGAAAAAAAGTCAAGGAGGTTGAATATGAACCGGAGAAAATGAGAACCAAGAAATCATATTGGAATGGCCAAATCCTAGGCCTAGCTTTTGAAAAATTATGAATGAGGAAGTCTCATGTCTCATAACCTCCATGCAAGAGTTTAACCAAGTTAGGGGGTATAAGGAGAGCGCATGGAAATATTTCTCATTGATTATGCATTTTTCATTTGTATACATTATATCAGTAAGTTAATGTAACAGAAGTTGTCCAATGACAGTGAAAAGCAGGGTGAAAAGTAGGTCATTCTATTTCTAGCATTTCTTCATCAATTATGCAAATGAGTTTACATATATCACATGATTGAATAGTCCTATCATGAAATCCAGGAATTTCCTAGAATCTTGCAAATAAGATCTTGATTTGCATAATTGTCACCACATTTAATGTGAAGCATCACTTAAGCTACCCGCATCATTTGACATACCAAATATCATACAAATCCATATAAGAACTTCACGAGTTATGCAGTCTGCAAACAGGTATGCACACATACACAGAACTTATGGGGTGGTGCCATGGGTCCAGTATACGACAGTATTACATGTACATGGGTTTCCGACAAGTTTGATTATGGCTTCCTGGCAGCTTTTTACATGTATACAGCTTTCCCCTTATTGAGTCTTGCTTGTTTATCGTCTTTGAAACATATGATCAACTGGTGTGTTACGCTGAAAGGCGGTTATACCGGCTATGCAGATACAGATATGATATACACTGCTTCTCACTCAAAAGGCATCTTAATGATACAGTATTATATTGTTAGCAGACTATATCAGAGTTTTATTAACAACAAATGGCTCGTCTAATTGCTTGGTTAGTTAAATCAGTAGCAGATGCTGTTGGGACCATGTGTGTCAGAAAGTTGTCAGAACCACCAAGCATGGTGACATGAGTCCACGCCCAGACATTTAATACATAACAATCTGCAGTGATACAGTTGTCATAAAATATAACATATTACGTAGGGTACGTTTGTAAATGTGTTAACATACTAGTATCTTTCACCGTGTTATTGAGATGTTACATTACATGTACTTTTGGTGTTAGACTAGAGAGTACTGTTAAGGTCAAGGCTCTGGGTAAATAAAATTCCCCATATATTCAAATTTCAGTTGTACTTGTAATTCCTTATTGCAAGCAAGGAACAATCTATCAAGTCTGAAATTAAAAAAGTTTGTTCATGCATATCTTATCCTGAATCGATGGAAATACATTTGTCTCGAGGGAGATAGCCTAATAGGTGTAGGCTTTTGTACCCTGTTTGATTTCAGTGCAAACAGTAAGCACTTGGTGGTGAGTAAATATGTGTTTTGGACTGGCTGCCTGTAGTCTATGTGACAAACTTATAATATTGATAGACTTCTCTCTAAACCTGTACATGTACATCACAGCTACAAAGGATGGCTTGTAACTAACGTAAGCTCATGTAACGTGTAACGTGACATTCATAAAGGACCACACTTGGCTACATTTTTATACACGAGTTACAAGCCACCTTAAAAAAAATGTGGCTGCCCCGTTCAAAATCCTGTCAAGTGTATATACAATTTCATTATAAGTTGCTGCATTTCAATAATTCTTCCAAAAAGGTAGCAACAAGTTTAAATGTTACCATAGTTCTTGTCCTCTTGCCCATGGGTCATCCTCATGAAGATGAGAATGTACATTGTACTATATATATTGATATCTATACCATAGCCTTTCGACGAGAAACATTTTGAATGTGATGTCCAGTTATGACATCTAATATTAGTTCATTGCATGGCACATGTGTACTGAATTTTAAACTGCATTTACTGCAATGTTAAAAAAAAAGTACTGATATGTTAGAACAAGTGTGTTGACTGTTGATACTTCCATGTTGACCGGAATGAAATCTTACTTTTTTTTCTTTCTAGATCTGACATATCATAATTGATGTCAGATAAAAAAAAGTATTTTGGACCCGGACATTATCAAAATACTTTATTTCTATTTCTTTATGAGACTTCTTTTAGGTTCTCAAATTTGAAGTTGTTGATATAATTTCTGTGATCTCAAAATTATTTCGGAGTATGAGAGCATAATTTGAAGCCCTGTACGTTCTTTTCATCCATGTTTACTACTGGTATAGTAGAAAAAGGTCATGACTAGTACCCATATAACATAGTAGTAGTAGTACTCTAGTAGGAATGAATACTGGGTGTGTCCAGTGGTATTATATAAGTCCCTGTAATGTCCTTTGTGGTGTGCCTCAGGCTGATGCTCTTGTTTGTTGTTCTTAACAACTTAAACAGCATGGTTGTTAGGTGTATAGATCAGGTGTGTAGATCATGTTACAAGCACGTACAATTGTTCACTGCTTAGAATTAGTGTCATCTTTTCATGCTGGTGTTGTCTTATGTCATTTTTTGTAACAAGGGAAACAAATCAATGAGACCAATGTATGTCTGCAGAATTACTAATGTAATTGGAAGGGAGTCAAGTGCTCTAAGTTGAAACACTAAGTAACATTCCTTGCATGTATTTAGTCTTCAGAACGATCAGTACAGTCATCATCAACACCAATACTACAGTATTGAACATTAAATTTCATTACTAGTATGTAGGTTTGTATAGCTTGATCTTATCATACTCCTAGTCAGCTGAAATTATTTTACCGGTTGAATATTTGAATATTTAAACTGTGAGACAAAATCCTCTTCAAAACAACATAAAGCCTCTCAGTATCAGGGGCCATTAGTTGACAGTCGGCATTAAACATTTGTTACTGGTGAACTATGGGTAAATGTTATAACATGATACTGCCTGGTGTACCGTCTAGCTAACATTTTTCTTTAGTTCATTTTATGCTGTGTCTCAACTGATCCCTGAGATGATACTGTCTTTGTGGATGGTTTACAGACTTGACAGTTCAATCTACAAATGTCACAAGTGGGTAAGAAAAGTTGGTTTGGATTTAAATAGCTCTACCTGCTCTAAGCAAACCTCAATCACTTTACTCATCCTCTTGCATGTGGTGAAAAGAGCTATCAGGTTTCACCAGGCGTTGGTCTAACTGCAGATGTTCTATCCGCCCATGGCCACACCTTGTTACATGCTAGGGTTCAGATCACAGGAGTTATTTGTTGACTCTGTGGTACCTGACAAAGAGATGTTTTTGTTAAGTCTGTCACCTGTATCCAGGATCTCTGCATGAGTTGGTAACTATGAGCTGACTACCATAATTTACTAGAAATTGATTGATACCACTGTTAAGATAGGGTTTTAAGTTATTGCACTTGGCATTGTAATAAGTGCACATTTTTAACAGTAATTTGTCATCTGCAGACTGCTGGCAAGTTTATGGCCTTCAGGCCTCTATAATTCCATGTAATTTCTATCCAGACTGCTCACATTTAACATACAGCATAATTTCAGCATTCAGCTCATAATCTAATTGGACCTGGGAGCCCAAATTTAGGGTAAAACAAAGATACGTAGCCATTGCCTATCTGAATTTAGCATATGCGTGTATAACTGTAATCCCCTTGCAGTTCTTATTTTACTTGACTTGACTTGACATATCCATGGGCGATGTTCTTTCCACGGACTATTGTGACATTAAACAGGCAAGCCATCTGCAGTACATGTAAACCATTCACAGGACATGCCAGGCAAATCCCCATGGAATTCTCTTTGAGTAGGTGTTGACATTGCCCTGGAGAAAAATCTTTGCAGCATTGTCTGTCTTTGACAGTTGAACTTTATTTTTGGCTTTTTACCACCAATGAACCATAGCAACACAATACATACAATGATAAAGGCATGGATAAATCAACCAGGAACACAGATAAGGAACAATGGCATTGCACCTCAACATTTTTTAATTGAGATGGATTCTAAGATTTAGCTAGCACATGAATTATTCAATACCAATTAGAAAGAAGCGTACGATGATAGAGATCAAGAAATAAAAGTTACTATCTATTACTATCCTAATGCAGGATTGTTGTTCTCCACTTCCAGCTTGCAAGTAGACAACAATACCTGTCACTCCAAGCCAGGAACAAGATGTTGTCGGGGGTACCAGATATGGACAAGGAACAGCTCAATGTAAAGAACAGGAAAATGAGGGTTTGTGTGGCGACGTGCAACCGTGCCGATTACTCGAAGCTGGCGCCGGTCATGTTCGCCCTGCGAGACGACCCTGACACAGAGCTGCAGGTGGTGGTGATGGGCAGTCATCTCATCGATGATTATGGGTGAGGATTTTGCCTTGTTTTCATTTCTTCTTTTGGTCAAATGTTATTCCCATTCAATAATTAAAAAGATCTCTCTCACCGTGTGTCTTCAGAGCTACTTGATAGATACAAGATGTGATCAGTTAGAATGTCAATCATGTAGGACAATGAATGTCATGTAACATTTATAGCTTGACACTTAGACTTCCCAGAAAAGAAACAGTTTTATCATTAAGTCAGTGAAATTGGCAGGCAATGAAAGAGCTCTTTTGATGTTGTGTTTTCATCCCAAGGGATGTTCTGTTAACTTAATAAAAACCTGTCCTGTTTCCCATGCAGCTCAACCTACCGGATGATTCAGCAGGATGAGTTTGAAGTGGACGGATACCTGCACACCATAGTGAGGGGCGAGGATGAGGCGTCCATGGCGGAATCTGTCGGACTTGCACTCGTGAAGCTCCCCGACGTGCTGGTGCGACTAAAACCCGACCTTCTCATCGTCCACGGTGACCGTTTTGACGCCCTGTCCCTGGCCACCTGTGCTGCACTCATGAACGTCCGAATCCTTCACATCGAGGGCGGGGAGGTCAGCGGGACCATCGACGACTCCATCCGACACTCCATCACCAAACTGGCGCACTACCACGCCTGCTGCACCGACCGCGCCCGCCGGCGCCTCCTCTCCATGTGCGAGGACAACGACCACATCCTGCTGGCGGGCTGTCCGACCTACGACAAACTCCTGTCCTGTAACGTGAAGAACTACGACAACGTGCTGTCCAAGTGGGTGGGAGAGGGCGCCAAACCAAAGGACTTCATTATCGCCTTACAACATCCGGTCACAACAGACATTAAAGGATCACTCAAAATGTTTGACTTGATGTTGGATGCACTGCTGGAATTTAATGTGAAAACACTCGTCTTATTCCCCAACATTGATGCAGGTAAACCTGATAGTTATGTTTTAAAACTTACAATAAGATATCTAATGAAACTATGCTTGTTATGTTCCAGTTTAACACGTTCAAGTATAAATAGTTCATTGCTCAATCGTGTGACTGTGACAATGTCATGTTTTGCTGCATATTCTAACACATGTGTTAACTTCCAGGTCCATCAACCATGATTAGCGGCAGGAGTGCTAGAAATAAGTGGTAATCCAACCCTGACAGATTATTAGCACCTTGCACTCCTATTCTCTTTCATCTGATGACATAAAAAGAAAAATTGCCAGTTAGTCTGTACCTGAATCTGAATTGGTCCACCAGTATTACTGCCCTTTACACACTGGCATTACACACTGGTTTCACAGGCATGCAGTGGTGACTGACTAAATGTACACAATGGTTAACTTTTTCCTTAGTATTTTAATTAAGTTTTGGTGGTAAGTCCTTATGATTTATGATACTACCAAGGTATTCCTCCAGGACTATAGAACCATTTTTTTGGATTATTATATCTACTTGTTCTTGCACTGCTTGTCCATTGATTGGTCCCAATGATATTCTGTTGCAGTACTAGTATTCTACATGTGTCAATTATTGCAGTCTGGTCAGGTCAAGTGAACATCAAACTTAATTTTATTTCTCTCCTCTTCACATCTTCACAGGAAGCAAAGAGATGACACGTATGATCCGTCTGCGAGGGCTGGAACACCATCCAAACTTCAGCCTGGCAAAGCACATCCCGTACGACCAGTTCATCATCCTCCTGGCCAACACTGGCTGTCTGATCGGCAACAGCAGTGCCGGGATTCGGGAGGCTGGAGCCTTCGGGACACCGGTCATCAACCTGGGGAACAGGCAGATCGGCAGGGAGGCTGGTCAGTTCTGTTCTTGCTAAAATGTCACTTGAATTTTAAAGCCTCAAACTAAATGTAGAGATTATCCCATTTTTTATGGCAGGAAGGCAATGGTATGAGAAGTTTCTAGTTGTACTGTGCAAATGTTTTGTTAATAATGGTGTATGATCTTAACTCAGGTGAGAATGTGCTACATGTGAGGGATGCAGACACCAAGGGCAAGATTTTACATGCGGTCAACCTACAGTACCAGAAACAGTTTCCATGGTAAGAAACATTCTTCCTGCTCCTGTCAGTGAACAATGATGAAAACTGGACTAACATCAAAGTGTTACATGTACCTGTGTGCTTTAGTACCATGGGCAGGAGTGAATATAACTGTAGTACTTGACGGCATTTATGATCTAGAAGTGGAAACATAATAAAGCTCAATTGATCATCATGTTACAGACAAAGGCACCATTAAATTAGATCATGTAGGTTCAGTCATGTTAAGAGTGGATGTGCCATACAATGTTAAAAAAGTGTTCGTATTTGGTAAATGAGACAGAAACTTCAAAACCTGTATTTCTATTTCAGTTAGAGAAAGGGCATTGTTTCTTTTATGTATCACATTCACATGTGACCTTTGATCTCCCATGATTCCCAGCTCCTACATCTACGGAGATGGGCATGCTGTACAGCGTATCATGAAGTTCATCCATAAGATCAGAAACGACCTTGAGAAGCCCATCCAGAAGTCCTTCATCTTCCCCCCGATGAAGGACACGGTGTCACAGGACATCGACCACATCCTGGAGACACAGAGCGCCCTGGCCGTGGACCTGGGAGGAACCAACCTCAGGGTCGCCATCATCAGTCAGCAGGTTTGCTGCCTTCTCACCTACAAGTCTCTAAACTGGTCACCAGTGGTATCTTTCTAGCTGTTGGCTAGCTAGAATTAGCTCAAAAGAACTTCCTGTAGCCCTTCATCACTCTACAGCTCTATCTTTTTCTTATTAACAAGTCACATTAAAAGTACAGTAGTCATATCATTACCAGCAGTAGTGTGGCTAAAATATTGCTTTTGAAAAATGCTTGACAGCATGAACCATTTTATTAAAAGCTATTTAATCCCACCCTGCAGGCAGTCACATCTTTTGCACTGTCCTTTGGCTGAAATAAGGGTTGAATGGAGTCCCAGCCAACACATACATGTATCAGTAAATGAATCCTCACCTTAATTGGTTGTATGAAAGATTTTTACAGGCTACACAACATGGTGATCAGTTGTGTATCATTAAGTCACATTTGCAGTGTTCATCTCAAGCTCAAGTCTCATTGCCCATGTCCTGTAGGGTGAGATCCTACACAAGATGTCAGAACTGACCCCGGTCACGTACGAGCAGCGGATGGACCTGCTGGTGCGCATGCTGGTGGAAGCTACGTCCAAGGCTGTGGAACTCAGCTGTCGCATACTCGGCATAGGTCGGCATCCGTACTCAAACCTCTTATAACTCCAGTATATCGCAAACATTGTGACAAATGCCATATAGTGTAGATGTTACATGTGTTTTATATCATGTACAAGAAAGACCAGACCAAATCTTCTTTGCATATCAGTCTTTGCATATCATTTTCTCAGGCTTAAAATTTTTCTCGCTCCTTGTGTGGCTAAATTGCATTTAACTGATATTAGAATAAACATTTCTGTCATATTCCCTCAGAAGATTCTACAAAGGAAAGAAAATGATATGTTATTTTGTTGAGCAGGTATCAGCACAGGTGGAAGAGTCAATCCTCATGAAGGGATGGTCCTGCACTCCACCAAGATCCTAGAGGAATGGAGCTCCATCGACCTGCGCACCCCCATCTCCAGCAAGTTGCACCTTCCAGTCTGGGTGGACAATGATGGAAACTGTGCTGCTCTGGGAGAGAAGAAGTTTGGAAAGGGGAAGGGGTCTGAGGACTTCATCACACTGATTGTGGGCACTGGTAAGCTGGGATTTCCATTGACCTTGCCATTATTTGGTGCCAAGCAATCATGAAACAAAAGTTTTCTATGTGAGCTCTACTGTGCTTCTACTGACATGTCTTCAATTCTCCATACATGGACAATTCGCACATAACTACAGTTGGCACATAACTACCTATGCTGTTGTTGATGATGTGCAGTGTGGGTACAGTAAATTTTGAATACTGGTACCGTTCACTTCTTTATGATGTATTAGATAAATGTAAGGCAGTGTTTTGCTAGTTCTTCCCTGTTGTAATATTGCCCATGGACCATGCTTCTCCAGGAATCGGAGGAGGGATAGTCCTGAACAATGAGCTGGTCCACGGTGCTAACTTCTGTGCAGCAGAGCTGGGACACATCAGTGTGTCCATGGATGGCCCTGACTGCATGTGTGGGAGCTCCGGCTGTGTGGAGAGTTACTCCTCAGGAATCGCTCTTCAAAGGGAGGCCAAAAAACTGCATGATGGTATGTATGTGTTCCACCAGTAGTACAACCTGAAGGCAGGCTTGTTTCTGTGTGCCTTCCAGAATGTCCTCTAAAATAGCCATCTTTTTAGAATATAGCATTTTTGTCACCATCTCTCATTATACTATTTCCTGGCAAAATTTTGGGAGCCATTTTGATTAGTAGTATTGTATTTGGACTTCATTTGTATTAATTGGCCAATATTGATGTTATCTGTTGATGTTGCACTTCTTGTCATACATTGTTAGTTCATTGTGTAGACTGATGTGTAGTGGTTAGGAAAGTTCAGTACATTTCATTGTATGAAAGCCTCCAGTCAGAAGTACCAACACTTACAAACTTGAACTGTTCCCCAGCTGATGAACTGCTTGTTCCTGGTGTGCACCTGAGGGAAGGTGAGGAGGTGACAGGCAAACATGTCATCCAGGCTGCACAGCTCGGCAACAAGAAGGCAGAGAAAGTTGTGGAAACAGGTGAGGCTTAAATGAGGCTTCAGAAAGAATGAAAGGAAGAGTCCAACTCCACTAGGGGGGAAAATGGAGGTTGAGGAATTTGTTAACTCAAGTCAACTTGATGCTTCATATCATATCATAGAAAAACACATGACAGTGCAACTGCAAATTGGCTCAATTAATGGACAAGAAGTGGATGCACCAATACATGTAGGTATGTCTTATTCAAGACTTAGTGTCATCTGGTTAGAGGCATTTACATCATGGAGGTTTAAACCTCCTTTGTTACATGTACAGGCAGCTGTAACGTTGTATCTAAGCTGGATAACTTGTGATAAGTGTCTAACTTGTCATTCTGTTCCCATCTTCAGCATGTGAGGCCCTGGGCTTGGCTGTCTGCTCTTTGCTGCACACTGTCAACCCCTCCCACATCATCCTGTGTGGGCACCTGGCACCCCACTATGTGGACGGCGTGCGTGAGGTCATACAGAGGAGGGCTCTCCCATCAGCTGCCAGCAGCATACAGATCATGGTGTCAGACCTGGAGGAACCTGCACTACTGGGAGCAGCCAGTATTGTGTTAGAGTACGCCACCAGGAGGATATATTAGTATTATGGGAACCCTCTTTACTGTCCTCTTGGGAAAGAGCAATATTATAAACAGAAGCTATTATAAACAGAAGCTATCTCTTGGTTCTTAGTTGTCTCTTGCATAAAAATTATGATGGTCATTGTCCCTGTGTCGATGTATGGGGACAATGATTATTACAGTTTCTTTGTAGGTGGCAGTGGATATCTCATGTGGTAGTGCTCCCAGTATTTTAAATTATGTTCTTGTGTGTTATGTTGAGTCAAGAAATACAGAATATAGTACACACCAATGTGTCAAAAGGGTTGCCACTCCTCATCTCAATGTCATAAGAAAATACATATTGCCACTGCCTGTGCATCTTTTAGATGACTGTAAATATGTTTTCCGTATTTTTTAGTCGGTGACTGCTTCTCAGTACAAAATGTGTAAAATATCAATATATACTATACAGATTATAGTCTGCAACAGAACAACAGTGCTTATAACAATCAGAAAGCATGACAGCACCATGCTTATTGGTTTGTCCTAGGGAGAGGATTATTTTAATGCATATCTCTACCTTTGTGTCTGTTAATTGGAATGCAATGATTACATTTTAATGTTTGTTAAAAATATGATGATGGTAATGAGATTAATGGCTTTGTTTTAATTGTAAAGTGTACTTATTGATTTTAGCTGTGTAGTGATCAAATCGTGTTCAGACAAATAGAGGATTTCAACATGTAGGACAAAATGAGATTTACTTGAAAATGAAATTGTCTTAAGTTCCTGTAACAGGTCTTTTGTATACTACCTATTTACCTAGTAGGTACAAGATGTCATTTTATTAGAAAACCTACAAATTTAGATTTTAACCAGGAAAATGTTAAGACATTGTCAAAAGATTGTTTCTTCATGTAGAGTGCCATTTGGTCATCCCATTGCCGTGCACGTTGTACCTTCTGTTAATGTAAAAGTCCTTGTATATTTTTTGTTCAGTGCCAATCCTGGGACCACTGTAAGGCATTAGTGTGGATTGCCTTAGTTTCTCATTTTAAATTCAATATATTTTATTTGACAAATACTGTAATATGTATATCATAGAATTGTATGTAAAATGTAAATGCCCATTACCACTTAATATGAGTTGCTTTCATGTATATCAAAGTGTATTTCAACCCCACACTTCCATTTGTTTTTGACCATTTCATATGGTTCAGAAACTACCAAAAGTATATGCAATCTAAGTGATACATGTGGCCAGATTTTCCCTCACTATTGTATTGCAGTTAGAATTAGTCAAGCGGTTGCTTACATGTATATCATGGCCTGTTTAGATGATGGTATTTATTGTTTGCCTTTTGCACTAACACAGATGAGAGAAGAATTTGTTACTAGGGAAGAGTGTTGAAAGTTGTACGCAGCTTGCAGATACTTACATAGGTTCAACACTTCATAGTACATAGGCAGGTGCTGCTTGTTTAGAATATTGGAGAGAGCTTGTTTCATTAATGCTTACTTGGATCATTGTAGAAATACAAGATGCTGAAACTTGAGTGTAATTGTTGTGAGAATATCTGTTTCAATACTTTCCACGACCTCATACCTTCCCCAAATTATGTTTACCTTACAACTGACAAATTATGTTTCTCATAATTTTGACAATACAAATAAGATCATCATTTACCTGAATTATATCATGAATCATACCATATTTTACTTTATCCTTTATCCAGACAAAGGTCATTCTTATACTTCCTCATAGATTATGCAAATGTTCACCTTCATTTAACTTCCAAATGCTGCCAGTATGAAATTCCCACCATTTACCACTATGGAAAAACGAGATGTTCTTAATTATGCAGCTACTAACCTTCCAAATTTCATAACCCTAGCATGTCCAGATCATGAGATATGAAAACCGGAAGTTCTCCTACAGTACCATAACAGGGGGTTCAAAATCTAATCATTTCTAGGTCTTATCATATATTCTCCATATAATCCTTCTCGAGTTATCGTGTTGACAGACACACACACACACACACACACAAACCACTCCGAAAACATAATCTTGGCAAAGGTTAATTATAGTTTCGCAAACATACGCCCTTGCCAGATGATACTAAGCTAAGCAACAGAGAGATACTTAAACTGTTTTAACCAAATCAAAGTCTGCTGCAGTACCATAATAACCTACTAGGGGACCCAAAATCTAATTTTTTTAGTTCTCATCAATCCACCCATAGACAGACACATGTTTCACTAATCTTGACCTTCATAAAGGTATCACCCTAGCTTATGGCACCACACATCACAAGCCAACTGTAGGCCAGATTGGTCAGCAGCCAGAGGGGGAGTTTGGCTCTAAGGAAGCTGGACAGAGTATTTTTCACCTGTCACAGGTATACAAGAAACATATCTTTCCACAATGTATGGTAAATCATGATGAATAACGTTAAATAAAATAAACAAAGTGATGAATTTTGCAGAGCAATGCAATGTCTAGATTTTTCTAGAAAAAAAAATTCCTTATATTTTCTTCTAGTATTGTACTCCATTAAACATGCTCCTGACCACTAACCTGGGAATGACTCTCTTCTATGATTTTATATGCCAAAAAATTGCAACTCGCATTGTAATGCACTGCTCCCACTCAATAGCGTCATCTAGCGAAATGGACCAGAAGTGCGTTTCAAACATGGCGGACATGACAACAACAACAGACATGAGGGAGTTTCAAGTCAAAAACTCGTCAGTGTTTGGGCTTGTTCTTGAGAGCTCGACAGCGTTTAGTCCCGTTCCAGATAGCCGAGATGGGAAGGGGAGATTTTGTACTCTTCTAGAAATCTGTGCAGCTGCCATCACGAAGTACCAGTCTCTACTGCAGATAGCGATTGATATCGTACCCCGTGTACTACTGTGCACGCTGTTGAAGTAAGTGGAGTGTTAAACGGTGGGGGAGGGCTTTAGAACTTAAGATAACATCTTTGGGGAGTAAGTTCATTACGTACAGAACATAGAGAACTGGCTGAGACCTCCCGAAGCTGGCCTTACCCTTGGCCCTGAGGTAAATTGCTGTAGACAGTACATACCAATGTTACACGTTAGACTAAGTGAGTTATGTCTGTTATAACACCTGTTCCATCTGCCACAGAGAAGCCCTCTTGAGATCACACCACCTGTGTATCCGAGACTTGATCTCCAGCTGGCCAGGGAGATCGCTGGATTTCACCGAGATCTTGGGACCTCAGCACAGACACCATGTCTTGGACTTGCTCAACTGGGAGTCTGGCCGTGCCAAAGTAATCACTCACAGCTTGCTGAACTGTCAAAGTGAAGCTCTGCAAGTGGTGGATTTGAGAGAAGCTCTGCCAAGTATGTTCATTATGTTAACCTTTGGAGAAGATTAGATGTCTTTGCAAACTTGAAACCTTGTAGCATTTCACACATGCTGTTTTGCAAGAACAAGAATTTCAAAGCAAAACGCATCTCAACATTAAAGTGAGACTCTAAAGAGTTACAGTTTAAAAGATGAATAGTAAGATGAATGTTCTTTTTCCTGAAGGGATAAATTAGACTGATATTTTAAATCATGCACATGTAGATCGAGAGGCGACTGCCACCTTCGTAGAAGCGTCACTACAGTCCCACAGACAGCAACGTACTAAAGGTGAGGACATACATGTACTACCAGAAATGGCATTATGCCTTCTCACATACTCAGTTATAATAGGCATTATATGATAAGTAGGTAGGTATATAACATGGATGAAGTAGGATGACTTTTCACAAGCTTGAGAGGAGACCTGTTAGAAGGGGGCACAGGTGCATAAAGACTTGTGAAGGATTTAGCTGAAGTCTCACCAGAGATTCATAAAAGGTTACCTTGTCCTGACCTCTAACAAAATGGAAATATGCTTGTATCACCTCTCTGCAGGGGCATGTCAGACTTTTCCTTGTCACCCAAAAACCACATTGTTTTCCTTAAAATGCTGTTTATAATACTCTTGTGCTCCTTATATATAGGACAGGGTAACTTGTGTGTGCAGCATGTTAACACTGACACTGGGTGCTATATGATATATTATGATATCCCTTTGTAACGCTGTGAAAATCATTACTGTTATCAGATCTTCATGTATACCTGAACATGTGGATAGAGAACCCACTGAAGGAGGGAGGAAGGGTTGCAAAAGCATTATCAGCTCAGGGGAAGGGACTCAAGCTCCACCCCTGTAGAGTAGCCACAGTCTTCCTGGGCTTTTCTCTGGAGAGACTGGGGAGAAGACTGGATCCTCAGGTCTGTATACAGGGCTTGTTGGGAATGATGCCAGCTGTGCATGTTGAGTCTGCCTGGTGGGTGGGATGTAAAGAGTATTAGTTGTTTTTTAGAGTATACAATGCCATTGGCAAAGCTTATTGATGCATTATTATGCCACCAGGCTTCTCAGCATCAGGAAAATCCCTTTGAATATCATGCTTGGGAGGGAATGTCTTAACGAAAAGTGCAGTTGGGGTTAACAATGCATGGTATAATCCTCTGGTAGGACATGACTGAATGACTCCAGCTCTAAAGATCTCTAAAGTCCACAACAAAAACTGTTTTTATGCTGACACTCTAGGTTGAATCTGATGTGTTTTCTCCGTACATGTACAATAGCATACAAATTTTGCTGCCCAGCTGTCTGCTTGAGACATAAGTGTACGGTGTGTCTTCATGGAAAACTGTTGTTGCCTGACCTCCTTCACCCCAGTGCCTCTGTTTTTACAGGTACTCACTGGACTGGAGTTGAAGTCGGAAATGTTAGAATCAGCTGATGCCTTTGCTACGCTTCTCAGGGGCGGAAAGTTCCCAAACCTCTCATCACTCAGCCTGCCCAACTTTGTCAAGAGACTGGAATCAGGAGGCTTTCAGAGTCTGAGAGAAGTTCTGTCCTGTCTGCCCGCGCTGCGCAGGCTGCACCTGAACGGTCTGCAGGTGACGGGACAGCTGCGGCAGCTGCTGCAGGACGTTCCACCCCTGCTGCAGCTGAATCTCTCCCACTGCAGACTCAGTCCACCAGATGTCGTGTTCCTGTCCAACTCCCACCACGCTGAAGCCTTGCGAGAGCTCAGCATTTCAGGCATGACTAACTTTGATGCCATGTGTCTGTTGGTGAGGAGTGCCCCACAGCTGGTGTGGTTGGACCTGAGTGATTGTCCAAAGTGCTTTGAAGATGACTTTAAAGTCCTGATGACCAGATTTCTACTGCAATGTTCTTTCTCCAAACTCCACACCCTTGACTGCAGAGGAAATTCGTACACGGCAGAGCCTTCCACCCCTGTCCTTGATATTTTTAGAGTTTGTAATAAGATAAATACCCTAAAAACCGTATATTTAGATGCTCTGTATTTTGATGACTTGAATGAGGAAGAAGCTAGTGCTGTTCTAGGAACCATGGACAGCAAAAACAGGCCCATACATGTGAAAGTTCTGCATGATCAAGACACATATAAAACCTTGTACAAAATCTGTTATACAGAAACAGTCACATAGGCATATTCTGGGTTTGGTTGTTTACCATCATAGTTTGATGTTGCATTTGGGAATTACCATAGCCCACATGTTGTAACAAGCATATACCATCCTGCTCAGTAAATAATCTTTTGTACTGTTAGAAGTATGTCTGAATCTTAGTTATTATAGAGAAGAAGTTTGCCTTCCTGCAGCAGGAAATTCATCAGCTTGATTTCATTACAAGGCTCAAAGTCACCTGCTAGAGTCAATTCTTATTTCAGCAAATTCAGTTCACCTCGATTTTATTGACATTACAGGGATGGGACTGACAGTGTTGAAGAACTCCCTTTGTCCACATATCCCCGGTCTATTTAATTGCATGTGCAGCCTTGGTGCTGACACTACCAGATGTTCTTCTCATATGAAAGAAATTGTAGGACGAACCAACTTCCCGTGTTTGCTCTGGGAATAAAATGTATCCTCTTTTGATGTCTCTCTTGATTCTTATCTTTGGGGAAAAGGACCTGGAATCTGCTGTATGTGACAGAACACAGAAACGAGCCCTAGGCAATCATGCTGAGAGCTTTCAGTTTTATTGGCAAAAGTTTTACATATAAAGTCTACTCAGTAATAAATGAATGCTGGAGCATTTTCTCCATTATTCAATTTCCTTGTCAACTGACTTCACTATTTTCAGTGGTACCATTGTGCTGACGATACATGTACTTGGCACAGCGGTTACAATACAACATCCATATGTAACAGTAACGCATATAGTTTGGGTCTCCGATACTTGATACAGTATGCTTAGCAACTATCTGTAAAGGCTTTTCTCGGATATAATTCTGGCAATACATACATAAGACCTGCACAGTGCATCAACACACAGACATCGAGATCATCTTCACTAAATATCGTACTCTATTTACAGAGCCTCCAACATGAATATGCAGAACCGAACATTTTATTACGCCCCTGTAATAAGTGTGTTGGAACACAATTTATCTGTTAACCACCGGTCAGGGCTTGCGCCGGTCGCATTCGTCGTACAATCATCATGTATGATCCCAACCTGTGAGGTCTACAACCCTCTCCTGTTGGGGAGAAAGCCGCCTTAGATCCTCTTCGGCGGATGGTTTTGTGACAGACATCAAAATGGTCCGACGAGTGTGACTGTGCCGCATCACTGGTACTCCCGTATTGTGCAAGTTAAAATGTCTGAATTCTGCTATGCACTTCATTCTTCTTTTGCTGGAATCAGAGTGTACGTCTTATAACAACCCATTGTCTGGGTGAATATGTGCCTAGAACGATCATCCTGATTGTTACACTGTTATTGTTCAGTTTTGGAGAAAGCTCCATTGTCAGCAGTGATATTAAACACCACCATACCAGTAGTGTACACATGTACAAACCAACTTGATTTACAGTCTACCATGCCATGCAATCTGTAGCTTTGCTTACGAGAAAAGTTTTCTCTCTACCGACAAATAAATTAATCGAACAGCGTGACCGAGGCTTCGTAAAGACTATAAGTCCCTGGATATAGCGTATACCTTATACACTTCCATTACAATAATTCAGGAACATGCAAAGATTTTGGACATGTCCTCGGTAAATCTCACCATCTGTTTACTCTGAAAGTTTTTCCTATCTCTACATCCGGTACAGCCGCTCTCCTGTGTCAGCTGGTTAGGACGGCGCTTAAAACGCCATCACTGCAAGTCTTTTAATGCTCACCACCATATGGCTGCCGGAACACCGGTAACGTCAATTCTGACCTTAGGTGTAGCGAAGGTCATTCAATTAACTCAATTGAATTGAGTTGTACATGCAATTCGTTCCTCTACGTGTCTCTCTGCATATTAATTGCACACCAAGGAGGTATGGAGTATAACTTCTTGTAAACACACACGCACGCATGCACATACACGCGCACACACGCGCGCACACACACACACACACACACACACACACACACACACACACACACACACACACACACACACACACACACACACACACACACACACACACACACACACACACACACACACATTGTCAGCATTGATGTCTTCACTAAAATTATTTCATATTATTATTCTCAGCTTATTCCACAGCCATGCACTGGCAATGCTGGGATGAATTGACGCTGCCATTAAATAAATAAATTGCGCGTTCCTATTCAAACAGCACGCCCCGCACTGCCTTGTGTTTTCACGCAGTTTGTGCAGTTATCTCCAATATGCTGTGTACCAAGATGGCTGACACTTAGCCCTAATCACACGTCCGGAAACAAAAAAATATGGACGTTGTGTCACACGTTGAGTTTCAGCACTGCTTTCTCTCCTCTAGGGTTACAGGATCAGTGTACATCCCATTTATCTGTAACGTGTCACCTGTCTTTTCTTTTGATATCTCCATCTGATTTCTTCTTGAAGCAGTGCCGCCCCTTCGCTCTAATGCAAACTTCATTCTAACTGGGACTTCGACTTCACAGGATGATTGTGACATTACTTCACGTACTGTCTGAATACTCGTTTAGACATGATGATCTGACCATGCATATATTAGATAATAGTAGTACAAAATGTAGTAGTTATCACTGGGAATTATTGCTACGAAAAACGCCGCAGCATTTTCGAAGTTTTTCGAAGTATGGGGTCAAAGCACTTGTACTTGAATCGCCAGAACATGAGTACAAAGTGTTTGGGATCCATTTTCAATACTTGTAGGACGGGGCTGGGCAGTTACGAAGGTTTTTGTAAACAAAAGGCGCCAAATGAATTCAATAGGACCTGGGTTCAAGATATCAGGTGTAAAAGAAGCCCCAGAAAGACCGAGGACCGTCTTCCGAGATCAGGGCAAGTGGTTTTCATTAGCCACTGCTTGTATCTAAAAGGAAGTGGACTGCACTTTTCTCAACACCACCTTGTGTTCTGGCGGCTTCTTTTCGGACTGCAGCACCAGCATCAGGTCCGTCATCTGCAGGGTGTCCTTCCGCGAGCCTGTGTGGTTGCTCTTGGTCGTGGAGTTCCGGGCGGTGAAGAAGTGGGTGGCCGAGGAGATGGTGGAGAAGCGCTTGCGACCACGCCCGCTGAGCGTGCGCACCAAGGCGTTACGGAACTTACAGGAGACGAGCGTGTAGAGGACGGGGTTGAGGGTGGAGTTGAGGTACACCAGGGTGCGGATGAACACCACGAACGTTCCCACCAGCTCCATGTTGATGTTGTTGTCGGTGGTGAGGAGGACCCATGACTGCAGCACGCGGTGAGGGGTCAGGCAGATGAAGAACAGCGCCACCACGGAGATCAGCATGTGCACCACCTGTCAGGGGGAAGGACGGGAGAATCACGTACAGCTGCCATACAGGACCATGGAGACTACACCACATCATACAGCAATAAAACTCATTCCGTACAATTAGACTAAAACTAATTTCTAAATAATTCTATCCGAACAAGAATACAAACTAAGATGAAGGAAGAATCAGTGTTGTCTCAAGTCACCCAAACGTTTGTGTACATATGCAAATCGTTTAGTTTGAAACATGGCAGCTTTGGGATATAAAACGGACTAGTATCCCCAGAATCTTCTCTTAGCCCTAGGCTCATATGTGCATCCGTGTTAATACAATAGTTGTTAATGGTTGGGTACAACTGTACAGAGATAGATGTCGCACCTGCCGGCGGGACTTCATCTTGGCTCGCTGGCTCTTGCAGTCTCGACTCTCCGTCATCGGTACGTCGTACAGTTTGCGGCAGATGCTGACATACAGGCCGCACAACAGCGCCAGGGGGAACACCAGGAACACGAGAGTGATCGTCGTGAAGTAGGCCACAGCCGGGGCCGTGCGAGCGATGGACAGGCAGTTGTGGGCCAGGTATATCGGGGAACACTCGTCCTTCTGGTACTTATCTACCTGTATGGTGGACAAAAGGCTGCGTTCATTCTTACAGTTTGTACGAGGGACCTGGATAGAATGAAACTGTGTTTCTGTTGGAGGGTTGGAAGAGAAATACAATGTTTATCAAAGTGGACGAATAACTGAATGTACCTGTTTCTTTATCTATTTGGATGGCCTCGACAGGCGTATTAAAGGTCAATAAGCTATTGTCATCGTGCCCATTAAAATACTCGTTGACATGCCCCCGTAACAGTGCTCACACAACTACCCGAGTTACACATGGCAGGGACAGACAGCTGGGAATGATTCAAGTCAATTCCTCATCCTGTCCACAACTTTTGCCCGGAAGGTCGGGCGGTTTTAAGTAAGAAACAGTACAACTTACTTGGAAGATAGTGATGGTAATGACCGGGCTGCAGAGGAGGAGACATAACAGCCAGACCAGCGCGATGGCGATGAAGGTTCTGCGGCGGGTCAGGACGTACATGGCCTGGAGCGGGCGGCAGATGGCGAAGTATCTCTCCACACTGATGGCGGCGATGGTGAGGATGGAGGCCTGGAACACCACCTGTTCCACGTAAGGGGACACGTAGCCTGTGGGGACATGCTCTCTCATGAACAAGGTGTGGTCAAGTCGTCGTAGGATTTTCAGCGATAGAGGTTATATGGCAGAACCGAAGAAGCTGAATTTTAAGCTAAGTCCACGACTGTCCCAGTAATGCTTTAAATTTGTCGTAAACCTATCGTACGACATAGGACCAAAAGATACAACTAATGGTACATAGTCATGTGAGATCAAGACCTCTGGGTACACTATATGCAAGGGATACAAACAAAGGGAAACAAACAAACAAACAAACAAACAAACAAACAGACAGACAACAATCAAGGACAGTTATAGAAAATGAAATAAACTTTTACAAGAAAGATATATACATGTTACGACTTTCATACAATATTACGTGTGGTGGAACAATGCGGTGTTGGCACCGATGAGTTCTTACTATACTATTATAAAATTAACATGACAGGCGTTCTAGCGTCGAGTCTCGTGGACTAGACTTAGAAATGATGACCTTCAACGAAACACTTGCGGTATAGTTCACAGCAGGATTATCATTCAATTATATCCGCACTAATGCCTACTTTCTTTTCTGTGCAAGTACAGGGTGTGAATAGTTATATGCACACGCCATGGATTAACCAAGTCCGTCTGCACTGCAAGTAGCACTCTTTCCTCCAGATTTACCCTGACTAGGAGATTTCGGAGTTTGTCATCACTGACAGCGCGATGGCAACAAGAAACGTACCGGATATTTCAGGTACTCATCATGTCGTGCTATCACCAGCTTCTTTCCCAGAGAGGATTGTTGCTTCACAAACTGATGTAAATTTGTAAAATTACTTTCAAAACCAAAACCAAAATAGAAATGTCCTTGTGATAGTTACAAGACACCTCCCGTAATTATAAGCTGGTGTGTTACGCCGAAGGCCGGTTATACCGGCTATACCGATACAGATACAGAAAGATTTATAACGCTGACCCAGGATGGTATTCCCTTGCCGGTTTGAATCTTACATAAAGGTCAGTGATCCGCCACTGCAGAGTACAACCAGCCATTAACAATAATCCGGACGCTATTAACCTTTATCAGTCATTTCGTCGTTAAGCTCTGCCGGTCTGATCCCACTTCTGGAGGCGGCACCCGTGTGCTTCTCTAAGTACTTTTGTCAAATAGCTTTTATAAAAAAGGTTATAGCCTTGACGCAGAGCGTTTATTATGCGTTGGGTCCCTTTATGATGTGTTCTGTATTAGACGTTAACAGAGGTAGGCCCTGGGTGATCGTTAACGCGTTATGACTGCGCGTTTTCCTCTATGAATTCCAGGTTTGAATTATTTTAGGCATGTCGGTCTTCGGATGTTTTGGTTCTGGGCTTTAGTTGAAATTAGCCAGTCCACACATGAACCACACGCACGCATAATCTATTCGCTGCTCACGGAATAGCTCTCTGATGCACACATTGCTACACCGATCGAGATTTACCGTTCTGGGATTTCAACCGTCTGTTTTTCAAATATATCAGAGTAATATAATAGATGTATAGGTTAATAATAATGTTCTACATTACGTCCAACGGTATCAGGGTAATTCGTCAATTAGCTGTGAGTGAAACGTATTTGTAATATGTATGCTTATTTTGAACATCAGTAACTCTGCGGTTGTACAGAATCATGAATGGCGGATCCTGCTTTAAAAGTATCACTGCTCTTTACTGGCTATGGATTGGCTTAACATTTATCCCTGTGCAGCGATGCTCATGCTACTACCCTAAAGACAGGACCTAAATTTTCCTTTGTCAAGAGATTTGCGAAATCTTCAATCTTTGTAAATGAGTTGTCAGCGCCTACAATGATAATTGGGTCGTGATTGCACCACTCTTGATTCTAAGTTGAAAATCCATCAATGACAAGACGTAGCACAGGTCGTGCCCGTCCTGTAACATGATGGACGCCTTGTGTCAGACCCTCAACGGAGCCTTTCAAGCTGAAAATGGAAACATCAGCGGATTTCTCGTTATCGCTGAGCGAATACACCTTACATAGATCAAGCAGACTTATCGCAACTGTGCTGCTGAGTTTTATATTATTGAATACTTAATCATCATGAGACGTTTTATTTAATGAATCAAACCTGAGGGCTTTTCTACCTCTGTGCACCGCCGTGTCTTATATTGTAAGTAAAATCATGATTGTAAGACAAATTGTAATGATATCAACCATGTCAACTATCTGCCCTGAAAGTGAATTGATGGTTAGGATAACGTGACCCCTAGAAATGTCAATACAAAGCTGTGTCCTATTGATTGCCTGTAACAGTTTGTCCTGTCACTCTTTTGTCATGAATTGCGTGAGTTTTAGCATTTTGCAGCGAGCGCTGTGATTCCAACTAAATGACCACCGCTGACCGTAACGTTAGAGAGTGGATTTGGCGCTCTGTTTGCCAATTTCACAGGAGATTGAAATAACAGTCATATTACAACCGGCACATTTGTTTTATCCCTTACCGCGACCACACGTACCACTTCTTCTTTACAGCTTCAGGCCACATTGGCTTAATTTTATGGATGGCATCCTCTTCTTGACGCCCTAAAACTGATGCGAATGAGCTCAAGATAAGGTGGCCAAAAATTGCGAAGGTAATAATAATTGTACATTTATTGGTAGTGCGAAGATGCATTTACTCACACATGGTCTCCCCCAGGTACCAGGGGTACTGTATCCAGGTCTCCATCAGCCCGACAGGCACACACAGCAGCAGGAACAGCAGGTCAGCCACGCTCAGGTTCACCAGGAAGTAGTTGGTGGTTGTTCGCATGTCCAGACACCTCCACACGACCACGATGACCAGGATGTTCCCGGCCATGCCCACCGCGAAGATGACGCAGTAGAGAACCGTCACGGCTATCCGTGCAGGCTCAGACATGTCCGTGTATAGAGGGGGTAACCACTGAGGAGCCGACTCATTCAAACTCTGGCTACAATTACACTCTGCCGTGTCGTTTACACACGACGAATTCATCTTTCTTAAAGATGTAAATGTTTGCTATCGTCTCTGCTAGAACACAATGTTTGATAGCAAGATGCCCATCCCACACCACTAGTACTACTCGAAAAGAAAAATGTTCACGCCAACGCTAACTTCGTTGACTTTTGTTGACGTCAATGGGTTTGTAAACTTCACGAAGACATACTGAGCAGCACAGGTTCAGCCTCAACGGTCACGCCTTTTCCTTATCTAAAAGTCCTTCATTCTTCCACAAACAAATCCTTCCTTTCCAAATAATGACCAATTAGCTTTCGTCAGACGAAGAGATCAGGCCTAACTAACGGTTCAGGTTAGCGACACTATGTCATTGTCCAAGCCGACGAGTCATATGGAAAACACGATCTGTGAATATAAAAAAGCGTTACGTAAACCATAGAGCGTCGACTTTGGGATATTCCAATTCAACTCAACTTACCTTGTAATATTTAACAAGTGTCCATTAGACACAACTCCGTGAAGTAAGTATGGTGTTTGCAGTGACAGCTGTAAGTTCGATCATACTCCATAAACGACAGCTGTAAAATCACTCAATATCTGCTTGGCAGTCCTTCAAAATATGGGAGTGTTCACGAAAATATTATATAACCAATGACAACTGCTACGATGTTAAAAACAAAATGTGCATCATCTAGAGCATGCTAGCGAACAACATGTTAAACTACGTACCAAAGCAACAAAGAAATCACGAGTTACAGCTGCGAACATATAAACACAATACTACGCAACAATCAATGCAGTGGATTCATAAAAAGTCGTCAATAATCATACAAATTATGTTCTGGTTAGCATGATATCCATTTAATTGTCTAACACATTACTCAATCTATGTACATACCAAAATTTTAACAATCCGTCAATCACTTTTTGGGCTATTCTTTCAAACTCTAAAGCAAAATCGACCGCTGCTATACACAGGCACTCAAACGAAAACATCTGCTTGGAGATCAGGTATAAGCGCGCCCACTAAACAACGGCAGCATTGCTGGGAGATCTTCTTGGAGGAATGTTAGCCGGACCAACCACACAAATGCTATTAACAGCTGTAGGGACTGTTCCGCACCTCACAAATAGGGGTGTATCCTGATGAAATATTGTACTTTACCTTTAAAAACTGCTACGGTGTAAAAAAAGAAATAATGTGCATCGTCCGGGGCATACTAGTACTACTAGTACTAGTAGACGACATGCCACTACACGCCAATGCGGCCAACGGATCGTGAGTTATACCTGCGAACACATCCGCATTTTTTCGGCGGTCCGCCATGACCCCCTTCATGGGTCGCGACTACCATGATCGGAACATCTGCATGAGAAAATCGCACATCCATAAAATCTACGGAATACATGGCTTGTTCCAAAATTCCATCAGAATAAGAGACTTCGCTAAAATATTAGATAACCTATGATAGCCTATGGAATAAAAAAGCAAGGTGCATCAACTAGAACATACGACCAGCAGACAACGTACCAAACTACGTCCATGCAGCAAAGGAATCGCGAGTTACATCTGCAAACACACAACTGTTTAGGCTTCGTTAATTTTAATACTCCGTCCGGAGGCTATGACCTTAAAAAGAAGTACATTGGAAAAAAAGCTCACCACGTATGGTAACCAAGACACTTAAACGACAACAATAGATAACTCTTACTTAAGTCACAGGTGTTCAGTGATGTTTACATCATAGACGTATGGGTCATTTTTTGTTAAAATGACATTGGGGCCCTCTTGATTATTGCTGGGTATGTCCATTTTAGTTCGTGAGGTAGTTCGCAACGGGTTGTAAATCAGTCAGGAGGGAATCCGCAGTCACATGTATACAGTGCCGGACACATGTCAAAAACAACCTGCAGTGGTGTATTATAAACACGGTAACCAGCGGGAAAATCTGCAACTGGAGAAACCAGTGCAATGCTACCTGAGTGAAGTGCTTGAGGAACAGCGTATTACAAATGTGTAGGGAAAAGAGTCATATGCATGAGTCGGCGAACAACACAGTTTATACAAGTACTCCATACAGATGCCTAATTGATATTGCACAAGCGGTCACAGAGAGGGCACAAAGACGCTTATCAGACCAGGGGACCAGATTGTAAAACGGAGAAGCTGGAAACAAAGTTATAGATGAACAACGTTAGCACAGGCATTACGGCAGGCAGTGTCGCCAGGCAGTACTGCACATGCACTGTCAGATAATTGTCTTGCCGGAGGTTTGCTGTTCATGTACCCTGCACCATCTCCTAATTAGCATACCCTTCGTTTCAGGCACGTTTGGCCCATATACAAATGGTAGCGCACGATGCTAGGAATGTAAGGTGGGGATGTAAGGAATACTAAAATAATCATGGATTTCACATCTTTGATGGAAATTCAAAATACTGTACGTAAACGTGGTAACGTAAAACGTAAATATGGATCCTCCAGTTTATTTGATTCTACCACACACTTAGCGAGTGATAGGGGAATATTATACAGTATTCAATTTCCAGTGTAAGTACTACAAATTCAAAAAGTCCCTTTGGTACTCCAGCGGCACCGTGTTGTTCAGACATGCCAACTGAAGAAGCAAATTAACGGAAAATTATGGGAATATGATATGATTAGCTGAAGCACACGGGCGTTTCCGAAACGAAGATATAACGTTAACATGCTATGGTCTGTGTCAGAAATGGCGCGTCAGGTAATCTCCAAGCAGATCTTTCGGTGGGGGTAAGACAGTATCAAATTGGCCAGCCTGTATCCATTTGCCAGTCTGCCAAATTAGCATCAGGCGCTATGACAATATCGATATCAAGCATTCTTACAACAACGCAGAAGCTAGCTTCTCACTTTCGTATATAGTGGTACACTGCAGTACATTTTGGTGCAAACCAGCTGCATTCGTCGAATAACATCGTTTGCGGTAAGTAGTTGAAGCAATGTTGGAGTTATCACGGAAATATTCAATACCGGCGAACGGCCTGTACATGAGCACTGATACGCTGCGGCAGGTTCACGTGCTATGTAACGTATCAAACATCAAGATGATTTCGTTCTCACACATCTATCCGCAGTAGAGTAGGTCTACCACTACAACGTCGGCGTCAACATGACACTCTGACATATTACGATAGGAAAATATAGCTGTGGCCGCCATGTCCAACACAAAGGGATGAACACTTTCATGTCGTGAACAGGTGTTCGGTCTTAGAAATTTGAGCTGAATGCAAGCAACGTTTCTTTTGCCAACCTCACTATGCATTTTGCTGTCGTCTGTACCTCTGTGCGACGACATTTTTTCAGAACCAAAATTACTATTAACGTTAAATGTTCGGATAAATGGAGACGTACAATGTATCGTTGAAAGTGCAAAATCAATGGTATTTCCTTTAGTTGGGAGAAAGAACCATCGCAGCTTACCTCCATTTCATTGCGGCTCTGTCTGCACCACCCTCCGCTTTGCTTCAGTCTTGACCTCCTGTTCGTCTATCACCAACAAGCGCCGCCAACTTGACTCCTGCTCGCTCCCTCCACTCCGCCGAAGTCTGAATGTCTCCTTGCCCGGTGTGTTGTGTCACCTGTGTTGGTGGGCGGATGCGTTGGGCGTCTGTATGACGCGATTAAAATGCTAATGGTGCGCAGTCGCGCCGTGTCTGTGAAGTTTTCCCCATGTTTTATGTTGTGTGAATTGTCATAAATGGTTATGTATGTAACATGTTATATGCAGGGTATGTTTTCAGAGGTGGGCAATCTATGGTAAATAAAATAGAAACAAACAAACAAACAGTTTGTTACATTTCATGACCTTCATGAAAATGGATGTTTCAAGTGTGTTTGCCTGTGTGTCTTTCAGCGCGTGTGTGTTTCCAGATATTTGAGATCAGCATAACTTACGAAGGTCTGGGTGGATTGTGATGATACATTTTTATTTTGGTATGTGGGTAGCGCTTCCGGTTTTTGCTTCTTTTGTCCTGGGCATGCTATGGTCTTGATTTTTGGGTGTCTGCTTCGAGAAGACCTAATCTCCAAGTAGAAATTTTGGTGGCTACAGACATATCAAATTGGCTGGGTCGCCACGCGGTAATTTATTACCGACGCTGAGAGTCAAAATAAATCGAGGCCCAAACCACTGCCTGGAGAGTACCAAGACAAGTCAGCATAACAATCATCATCACAGACCCTTATTGAGAAGCCCTGCACACTAACACGTGAAGAAACGTGCGAACCAGAAACAGCCTTCTAGATGAAAAAGACGCTGTAGCGCTATCAACTTGTGAGTTTACAACGTACCAGAGGCAAAAAGTGCCTTGGCACCCATCGATATACATTTAAATTGATTTTCGTGCTTGGACTCAAGAAAGGAGTGAGTCCAATAATCTCCTTGTCAGGGTAAATCCTGAGGAGAGATTGTTAAACGCCCCCTTCACGCCAGAGGCGCAATGAGCCAGAATGTCGTCTGCATAGGAATTCTTGCTTTTTTGTTGTTGTATATTCCTAGCTATTCGAAGTATATAAATTCGGAAGGCATTCCAAATATTCGAGCCCATTTCGATTCTCCCCTCGAATGCGACCAGAATGCTTCGAACGCTGTTGGAATACCGTAAGAATACAAAGAATGAGCCGGAATGCCATCTGATGGAGAAATCTTTGTATACATTCCTGGATATACGAAGTTGTAAAAATTCTCAGTACAAGCCGGTGTTTGTGTTCATTCTTGTGTTTTGGTCATACTCAAAACGTTCGAGGTGAATTTGAAGTGGAGACATCTTGAACTGCATTCTGAAAATCCTTACGGCATTCCAACAGCGTTTAAAACATTATGGTCGTACTCCAGGGAGAACTGAAATGGGCCCAAATAAACTTTATTTGGAGTTAACCAAGTTTTCAGAAAACACATTGAGTGGTCATAATTCACTCATAAATAGTTAGGAATATACCAACTTCTTGTGACATTCTGGCTCTTCTAGTGGATATAATTCATTCCGTGCTCCCGCGGTACTACACCACCAACGCTGCTTAACTACAGGGACATACACATCAATTTGCAGGCCCGTTTAATTGAACTTGAAGGACAATATTGCTGCGGAAATTTCCACTCTTGTCCCGGGAAGTCTTCATTAGAAGTCCAGACCTCACGCTATGACTCGGGGCCTCGACGCCAACCGCGTATTGTTTCCCAACAGGGTGCTGGATATTATAATCGTTTTCTTGCAAATTCATGCCCGAGGGCTAATTGCAGGAACAGAAGAAACATATGGTATAACAGACAATTAGTACACATAGAACTACTGATAACTACTAAGAAACTACTAGTAAAAACTACTGGGTTTGACTTCTTTGACAGGATTTTATAACATAACA